GTAAGAAAATTATATTCGGTCGTGACTGAATCTTTTATACCCATCACCGTTATTCTAAAGAAGACAAAAGAAAGTGAAAGATGCTCTATAATATGGAGTAGGCCTGGCTGATTTTCTTCATTTTCAAAATAAAAGTTTTTATCATTGGGCGTTAAAGGCGTGCCCTTTGACAATTTTAGATCAATTCCAAATTCTTTTGCAAATTTGTAGGCGATATATTCATTTCCATTTTGCTTCTTTTCAAAAATGGATGTGGTCTCAGTTTACGTGATGCTGTGGGCGTGTCGGACGACTGATTTAGCTTATTTTCAATATCAACCTGCCTGCAAAAGCTTGCATTATTTTTACCATATTTGAAGTCGATAACTTCATATTTCCGCTCAGGAGAATGACATTTAGGCGGACAGACGGACAGACGGACAGACAGACATGATTAAATCGATTTAGAATTTGATGCTGACCAAGAATATATATATACTTTGTCGGATCTGTGAAGCTTATTCCTGTAATCAATATATTCCCCGTTCGAATGTTTTCGTTTCGTTTGTTTTTTTTGAAAAATCACATTTCTTTTCTTTTGGTTGCTAGACGTTCATTACTCCTTCGAAAAGAATTTGTGGGTATTTATTGTTCAGATCAAAGTACATATAACACCTTTTTTTTATTGTATCCATCATGTTATAAATACATCTGTGTTAAAAGGGTGGCCACTAATAATTTGGGTTAAGGCTGTGTGTACTTTGTAAGGTTTCTGATGCGGCGACGTTCATAAGCCTAAGGAATGCCACATACTACACTTTCGTATAAATTCACAAAAAAAAAATGATCCTCAAATTGTTGGCTTTAAGCAGCAATCATGGGTTTCTCAATAGACTTCCTACTATCACAGCAATTTACGATTTTCAAACTAAAATGTTATCAGTACTGTAAGCAAATAAGTAAAGAGATGCAGGTATATATAAAAGCGAACGACAACCGTTACTTTTAATTAAGTTAATGTCAGGCTTTCTGTGAAGAAGTAAGAAGTTTTCATTTCACTTTTTCGCAGAATAAAACTCAAACTTAAATTTCGCAGATTTGACAAAAAAAGGTGTACGATCTTGTAACACTTGGACATATGTATTAATCACTCCATACATAATGCACAAAGTTGATTAGTGAAAGATTCTGAATTGATGCGTTCATGCTTGTGCATCTGTAAGACTCTCATGCTGCTCTCATACCTAAATGCGAAAATTCAGATATCGTAGAAAGCCGAACTTTATGTGACCTTAGTTAGATGATGCAAGAAGAAGTTTACAAAGGTCTCTTTTACAATCATTCAGTCAATTGTCGGAAAAATTACGATTTGCAGCAGATGTTAATGTAAAACTATCTCCAAATAGTTTACACAATCATTACATGATATAATGCAGAATATAAGCTGATCGACTAGGTGATCAGTCCGTAATTAACAAAATATTTTACATTTCAGTTTAATAGATCGTCCGTAATTACTAGCACTGACAGCCCTCATACGATGCCATAACATGTCAAACCTTTTTACGAGTCACAGTAATTCCGTCAGTCTGTTGTTTTTTGAAGCGAAAACACGCTGCGTATTCACTGTTTTGTACAAAAATTTGGGCGTTTTTCAAACGGGCGTCGCGGCTATTCACAGTGAAATAAAGGCATCGGGTCGGGTCACAAGTCGATGGTTACAGTGGCAAAATATGCATAAATTATGCTTCGAATTGCTGCCCGACTCAACGCATCCTCCAGAATGGGATGCCAGCGCCTTTTACCTGCGTGTGAGTCTTGAAAACATACTCCAGGGAAAAAGATTGCGATCGATATGTCGAGGTGTCGATATCATCTGAAGCACGCTAAAGTCTCATTCAATAACCAACACAAGCCTTGATTACATTGTTTTTTTTATATCCTATTCCACTTGTATATATAATATGTTAAGTTTGGCAGACGTTTGTAACATCCTTTATTATGCAGATCGCTCTAAGCTTGTCTTTGAGTCCAGTTGAGTGATGTTCGTCCCTGTATTAATATGTTCAATCGACACTGTAACACTGCTGTGTTTTCGGCCAAGGACGAAAGCAATTGAAAATTATTCGGATCGGACCACTTTTTCAATCAATCGCTCCATAACGACTTTTCGCATACGAAAAAAAAAAAAAAAATTGTGTACTTCGTAGAATTTCGCGACAATACTCGTTTAGTAATACTATGTTGGTCTTTTAAATTGATGTGAAAACGTTGGATCGGATGGGGAAGGTTTCTGAACCGCTCGCCATAAAACCGTTCCAACGAAAACTGCACTTCTATACCCATTACCGAAAGATGAGGGGCATATTCATTTTGTCAAAACATTTGCAACGCTCAGAAGGAAGCATCAATAAAGTATATAGACTCAATAAAGCATATACACTCTTGATCAGCGTAAAGTTCTAAACCGATTAGGCATGTCCGTCTGTAAAAGTTCGGTTGTAAATATTCTCTTGGCCCCAAGAATGAAGCTGCCGACTTCAAATTGGGTAGAAGCATAGGAAGTTCTTGCACGCAAATTTGTATTGAAAGCGGACCAAATCGACCGAAGGACACGCCCACAGCACCACGTAAACTGAGAATCCCTTTGATTTTCAAAAGGAGTAAAAAATTGGCTTTTTGCTCGTTACTCATAACCCAGATAACAATTTGAACGCATATTCTATGGGCGATGTTGTAGCGCTTGTATCAAAATGGAAAACATTAACCACGCCTGCCCTGTATTATAGTGTATTTAAATTAAATTTTTTTTCAATACTTTTATAACTAGTTTTAAAAATCCCCATAAATTATATAAATTCTTGGCCCGTTTCAATATGGGAAGGCACCTGAACATGCCCGTCTGCCCATTAGTTCGCCTGCGCAACTGCGTAGTATTTATGGTAAACATTCGCCCGTTAGCGAAAATGAAGGTATCGCCTATAAATTTGCAAAAGAATTTGGAAATGACTTAAACTTTTCCAAGGACATGCCCACGTCGCCCACACGCCTATGTGACAAAAACTTTTAATTTGAAAATAGAAAAAATCGGCCGCGCTGATTACTTCGTATTACAAAGCACAAAAATTGAGTTCTCGTACTTGTTATGTGTTTTTTAGGATAACGAGGATGGGGAGCGACGGAGTAAAAGATTCAGGCACGACCGATTATAATTTTCTCATTTGATATATGGCAAAAAGGTCTAACTTCCAATACTTCTTGATGAAAATTCATTCATAATATTAGTTTGATATCAAAATTTGAACTTGACTAATTTGGACCAGATATGTCTATTTTTTGGTTCCACACCCATATAAAAATTCTAATATAATATATCTAAGCCTTTATATGGGAAAAAGGTTTAATTATTAATATTTTCTGATGAAAATTGGTCCTTAGGAGATTAATCATAGGGAATTTGGATCACAATGATCTATTTTTTTGACGTCACCCTATGAAAGCGAATCCTTCTCTGACGACACAACCTAATTTGTGGTTTATGATGACGTCATCAACTGGCAAATGGTTAAAACCTTTGACAAGTAAGTTTAGCTTTACTAAATTTAGATCGCGTTGACGTCTGAATACCCTCCGATATGAGGGCTTTCACGAAAATTATGCATTTCCATATAAAAAATGTATAATTTTTGGTGTATTATTAAGCAATTGATTGACTGATTGCATTAAGCGAAATGGTGTAGGGTATCTAATGATCGGTCTTTTTTCCGATAAAGTTCTTCTTTCTCATATTCATATATCCGCAATAAACAACTCTAACATTGCACGTAAAGATTTTGCCTGATGGAACAAAAAGCGATGACTGTACAAATATGTTGAGTAGAAAGCATTAGAAGAAGAAGAGCATTAAGAAGAAATGTTTACTAAAAAATGAATAGTGTCTGAAGTACATTATTGACATTATTGATCGTTCAAAGGGATTAGAGAAAATTGTTTTTTATCATAAGATTACTTGATGGTAACGGTTTTTGTGCGACTACAAATTTTATCCATTATCCTTTACACACCATTCCCTGCAGAGCTGTTAATTTTAAAAGTCGCTAAGGAATTCATTACGTGATAACGTTTTCCCTTCGCTTTTGCTTCAATACTACTACTAAAACGGTGCACAATTTATTACCTGTTTTAATTTGTACTTAACAGGAAGGCAGTAGTAATTCATGCCTTCCATCCTCGCTTTTGTATTCTTTCTCACTATTATTTACTTTCAAATAAAAATGATATAAATGAATACTTTTTTCGCGGATTTTTATTTTAATTTTTCTCCACAATTTTCTTTATAAACATTTTATCTTCTGCATCAGCTTCACTCATTCATAATTGAAGCAGCTTTGTGTTTTTTTGCATTTTTTTTTTTTTTTTTTTTTTTTTTTTTTTTGTTTCGACTTAACGCTGGAAACAGCCAACAAAAACCCAACATCATAAAATATCTTTAAAAAAAAAAAATACAAACTGAAGCTATAGACAGATTGGAGCAAAGTTCATTGCTCTCACACAAGTGAGGTCCTATTGAAATGCAAAAACTTAGTTTAAACAGCTGTTCAGAGCTATAGTTGAAAAATTTTCAATTCAATGAAAAAAGAAAACAATAATAATAATAAAAAAAATAAAATAAAAAATTGTTTATTGAATTTATTCTTATTATTCAAAAATATGAAATTGAATTAAAAATTTTCTTTAATCCATTTTTCTTTGCAAGAATTTTGAGCTTTTTATCTGCATAAGTTTTATGCCAACTCAAGTGTTTTTCTCAATTTTGTCACTTATTCGTCACTTGTTTCCCCTTTGATATACGAATACGTAATAAATTATATATATAAATATGTATATATATATATATATATAAATATAAGTATAAATATATTTGTTGAAATGAAAAAAATTCCATTCCAAGAACTTCGTCAGATGAATCAAAATCAAGACAACTTTTTCTTCGTCATTATAAAAACTTGCGTTTCTTCAAGGTCACAGAAAGGAAGCAAGAAATTAAAAGTGGAACAAAACATAAAAATACATTAAATAGAACGGCGACTATAATGCCAGATGATTAATATAATTATCATCAATACGATCACGATAAGTGCTTACTGTGGACGTGTATCTATGTGTGTATGTTTGTATGCGTACGTGTATGCGTTTCTGTTCATACGCGAAAACACAAAAATCTCTTATAACTGATACTGATAAGCATATATATTGAATAAAGTTAAGGTTTATTAAACAGGTTTGTAAAATGTGCGCTGGCATCATAAATGATCAATAAATGAGTTAATTTTTTGAAAATTTAATTGCTTTTGCAAAATTGCCGAGCAAGTCCTCTAAGACCGTTAGGCCGGTCTGAACGGGAGGCAATCGAAGTTGGTTTAATTTGAAGTCGTTTGCTGTCGTGCGGGTGTTCGGTGAAAGCGACAAAGTGAATTTATTTCAGCATACCATGTCCTCTATATCGGCGCAAGGCGTGGTCGAACGTGCCTCCGCTGAACTTTCAAAGCGTATAAACGGCCTCGGCTTGCGTTCGAAACATCATCATGGCAGTAGCAGTAGCAATAACAGTGGAGGCACCTCGTCGACAACTTCTTCGTCGTCGTCATCGTCATCGTCTAGTAACTCTTCAAGTTCGTCATCTTCGTCCTCGTCCTCATCATCTTCGGGCTCCAGCGGTAAAACGTCGGTAATGGAACGCGTTACAAATGCCCTTTGCGGTGGTAATTCCCATTCGAATTCAAATACTGTCCATGCGGCAAACGCAGCAAATTCCAATTTGAATAACACAAATAGCATAAGCAGCACAACTCCTGATAAACCTTCGCGAGCCGGTACAATGAGCAGCAGCAGCAACAACAGTAGCGGTCAGACTCAATCCTCTAATCCGATAGTGAACTTAACGTCTATATCGGGCAATAATTCAGCCACAACAACAACCTTACCGCATCATTCAGGTGTTAATGTCAGCAACTATCAAATGTTACAAAAACAACAGCAACAACAACAACAACAAAAAAAAAAAAAAAAAAAAAAAAAACAGCAGCAGCAGCACCAACAGCAACAACAGTATTTGACTTCACAGATCGCCAATTCCACCTTAATAAATTCAAATCTCATGACGGCCTCCGCACCACCTACAGCACCAGGCATTCCATTGGGCGCTCCACCTGCGCCTACAGTAAATTCAATTGCAAAACAAATGAATATAACCATACCAGGCTCGCCACAATTCAATACGATGGGTATGGCGGCCGCCCAAAAATCCCAATCGAGCACACCACTGCAAATGCGCAAACAGCTGCCCAATCCTCATTTACATCACGGCTATGCTTCTTCGGCATCGGCAGCGGCAGCCTCCCAATTAGCGGCAGCTGTCACTCAATCCGCATTAATAGTACCGAAATTGCCGCCACCAATTGGTAGCATTGAAAATCTCATGATGGACGATCGTTTCCTTAACAAATTCTTTTCATATTTTACCTCCTATGAACGTCGTGTCCTTGCACAAGTTTGCTGTAAATGGCGTGATGTTCTCTATCGCAGTCCTCGCTATTGGTCAGGTCTACTGCCTACGCTACAGTGCCGCGAACTGAGACAGATGAGCAATTCGGACAGAGTTAAATTATATAATACGTTAATAAGACGCGGATTTCATGCTTTGGCGTTGGTTGGCGCGTCCGACGAAGATGCTTTGGATGTTGTGCATTCATTTTCGTTAGCCTCAAAGCATATACATTCGTTAAGTTTGCGATGTTCATCGATTAGTGATCGCGGTTTAGAAGCTTTATTGGACCATTTACAGGTGAGAATAAATCTTAAATGAAATCTTAAAATTTTTTAAAAATGTCTGCCCTTCTAACGATTAGGAAAACTTTTTAATCGTTCTATGCTAATTTCGATCTCCTTTATAATATGTATGAAAACGAAAATTAGAAAATATATTTTGAAAGGCTTCACATAACACATTAGTTATATGCGTAAATTAGATTTAGATACGTAAACGATTTCAGAAGAGAAGAAAAAAACTCGCCACTGTGTAGTAATAAGCGGAAGAATACGTTCCGTTCTAGACGAACTTTTCGATAGTCACCATCTAAAGCATTCGTTGCTGAAGTGTCGTCAATTACTGGAATTATTTTTACTTGCAACTAGTAGTTGGCCGCTCTAAGCAGTTTTCTTCTTAAAGGAAATCACGCGCATATGTCAGGTGATTTACTAAAGAGAAAACATTTTTTTCAATGTTGTGAAATTGATTGAAGGATACACGTACGCATGCCTCTACACTATTGGTACACTCTGGTGCAGGGTATATTAAGTTAATACGGAAAAGCTTAAAACAGATCCACCTTTTTATTATATCGATTATATCGATTATATCGATCAATTCAGAATCGTTTTCCAAATCCATCTAAGTCTGTCCATCTGTCTGTTCCTCTTATGTTTGTCCATGCATTTTTGGGTTCAAGCTGCTGGCTGCAATTTTTGAGATGTTATGATGAAATTCGCTACACAGACGTAGTTTGGCCCAAGGACGAACACTATTGAAAGTGGTTCGAATTGTTTCACTTTTTTGACCCCTGCCAGTATAAGCCCTATTCTAAAAAGTCGTTATATATATAAAAAAAAAAACGCAATTCTCAAAATTTCTCGGCTAAGTAGTACTAAGTAGTATTTTGGCATTATAAAGTGATATGAAAACTTTAGACCGGTTGTGGAATTTTTTTTAATCCCCCTCTCATATAACCAAGTAGGGAAACTGAAGCTTTACACGGTAAAACTTCGAATTTCCAATATTTCTAAATGAAAATTAGCTCATAACAGTTAATTGACAAGGAAATCTACCTTACCGAGTTTGGACCACGTTGGTCTATTTTTTGGATACCACCGCTTATAAGGATTCTCATGAAACTTGAACCCTTTTATGCCAAAAAAAGCCTAATTGTTAATCGTTTTGTGATCAAAACTTGTCCATGATAGCAATTAAATAGACAAATTAAATGAATTTAATTTAGCAACATAAGTCTATCTCTTGGCCTCGCTCCATATAAGATATCTCATGACTGGTAAGAAGCCCTTTGGAAAAACATTTATTTTCTAATATTGCATAGTAGCGTTTTAGCAAAAAAACTAACGGTAGGGAATGTGAATCATATAGGTCTATTTTTTTTCTTTTTTTTTTTTGGACCACAACGTGTTACGGAAACTCTTATAAGGAGAGAAAATCGAACGTTTCAATATGCAGGCTTTCATTAAAATTGTGGCTTCGCGTGAAAGTAATGTGTACTTTTTGAAGTATTATTAACAAAACGAGCGATTAACTGCGCTGGGCAATGCGAAGTAGGGTAGGTAATAGTCGTTCGCCTTGTCCGACTATAATGTTGTAACTTGTTGTAAAAGTGCAATAAAGATAATTATTAACCAAAAGGAGCCCGTAATCAAATGGATGCGCAACGACGTAAACACTTTCGCGTGTATTTAAAGAACCAATTTTCTCTTTACACATATATGTTTTGTTTTTCTGTATTATAATATTATTGATTCGTTAATGTTTACAAACAAACAAACAAACAAACAAACATATTAGTCTGCATTTTTCGATAAGGCAGTTAACGACGTATGCAACGACCATAAACTGGACCGAGCTGCGTGTGTGTGTGCAATAAGTGAACACGAATCTTAATTCAAAAAAATTATACTAACGCTATTAAAGCCTCTGCTGTTTCACGATTAAACAATGAGGCTATTACATCGAACATGAAACGTCAAGAATGACTATGACATGTTTCATGAGTAAGAAGTACAGTCGCTCAAGGCCGACCATTATATACAAGAATTTTTTTTTATGGGGCCTTCATGTCGAGGACGACTTAAAACGTAAGCTAACAGGATCTAAACTTAATAAAGTGAATCGTCTTCGGACAGATTTTATTTTTTATTATTCATCTATTTTTTATATAAGTAGTAAAAGTGAAGCCTCGTTAACATACAATGGCTTACTTTGCATAATTACGCGGTTCGAAAATTAGATCTACCTTATTAAAAGATGGCATAGATAATGAAGTATATACTAAAATGAAGAATATACTAAAATATTATAACAGCTTAGTTTTCAAAGTCAGAATTTCCATATGAAGGAGGTCAAGGATATAGAATATATTCAAGCGTCTCACATTAATTTAATATGCTAAAATACTATTACTCAGCGATTTTTGTTGAGTAATTTCAAAGACTGCACTATTTTTGTACCCATTGCCAAAGGCGAGGAAGACGATTATATTCGTTTGCCCAGAAGGAAGCATCAGAGTTCCAGTAAAGTATATATAAACTAAGCAGGTAAATGTATAAGAATTTGATTGCACATACTATAGGTTACGCCGCAGTGTTGGAATAAAAATGCAAAAAGTCGCCCGCGTTTACTCAATGTTATAGTGCATCACAATTTAGTCTTTTTTCCGGTAGCTTTATAACGCACAGACACAAGCTTCAAAAACCCAATAAAGTATATAAATTCTTGGCCAGCTTCAAATTTGGTATGCATCTAAACATGTCCGTCTGTTGGTCCATTTGCCTGCGCAACTATGTAATAGTTGTGGTAACGATTTTCCCGTTAGCGAAGACAAAGATGTCGCCTATATAAACTTTCAAAAGAATTTGCAGAAGTGACGTAAACTTTTTCAAGGACGCGCCTATTACGCCCACATGTCTAGCGGACAAAAACTTTGATTTTGAAAATAGAATAGCACCCACGCCCACTCCATATTATAGAGCATGAAAACTTAGTTCTTTTACCTTTTCGTCTTTTTTTAGGATAAGGGTAATAAGGGTATAAAAGACTCGGTCGCGACCGAATATAATTTTCTTAATCTACACTCTTTTCAATAGAATTTGTCTCTGGGTCACAACACGTGTGTGTGTGTGTGTGTGTGTGTGTGTGTGTGTGTATGTACCGAGGCTCATCAAAGTACATAGATTTCAAAAATTTTGTTACTTCCCGGTTGAACACAAATATACATGGGCAGACATTAGATGGGCGGATGAGTAGGCAAGCAGGCGAGTAGACGAGACAGACGAACGGACTGGCAGACGGCCAGAAGGACGAACATGGTTATATCGATTCAGAAGATGTTTCTGAATCGATCAGTAAGTAGTACAATAAAAATTGGGTCTATTTTGACACCTTCTAGGTAGATATTACATGCAACCGCATTAAATTAATACGCCTCGTACCGTATAAGTGATGTAGAGTATAAAGAAACGTAGGATAATTAGTTTGGGGCAGTCACAAAAATAATCCCACATCTCCACTCTTTAGAAGTGTGTCGATGCATTGCATGCAATTGACATCTGAGGGGTGTATTCATCATATCCTTAAATTTAACTAAAGTCTATCCAGCAAATATTAATTTCTTCTTTCGTATGACTTCTCATTAACAATACCGACCAATCAACAATAATAAAGAAAATCATTTTCACTTTCTTTCGGAAGCGAATTCATTTCAAAGCACACAGTGTTGCGTTGTAAAAGAAAAAAAAGAAAAAAAAAAAAAGGAAAAAACGGCACAAATGAAAAGGAAAACAAAAATATTATAAAGAAACATTTTTCTGAAATCAATGACCACTACATATAATATGAAATGAAAGTGTAAATATATGCTAAGAATATTTATATTATAATACATATGTATGAATGCCTGTCGGACTTTGGTGGTAGAAAGATGTCAAGACATAAGCAAATATTTGTATGTACGCTCGCACATATTCCCCACCAACTGTAACACAATAGAGTGTAGATTGTGCCACACATAGTTTCTTGACATTTTTCATGCCCACCCATACCGACTGAGAGACAGATGCTTGAACTAAATATGATGCCGCGCTCGTAAATATTTTTGTATAGCAAGTGGCAAAAAATATTACATGCAAACGGGCAACCAGTATATGTTAGATAACTATTAAACGGCTTAAGCCGAATTTCGAAAATCGATCATTTCGCCGAAATATTTATAAAGATCGTACGTAAGCGGTTAGGGACTTTAATAAATTTTATGATAGATAAATGCCTACTAAAGAGGAGATAATTACTTAATATTGATGGCTATGTCAGACGATCCTCTATAATATGTATTGATCCCTTCCGTTTGAGTAGAATTCATATTGAATTCACTCACTTTGACTAACTATTGTCACTTCGATTATTATGTATGTATTTTTCTGCGAGATGCCTTTTCGCTTTTTAAGTATGTCTTGTGTTTCTTCGGGTTTATGAAAAAACGATCGCTATTTATTTAAACTGTACGATCTGTACGATTGCTTGACCAAGTGAGAAGATTTTATCTTAGTTTTTGTAAATTGATGAATGGACAGACAGACGAATCTCTCTATCCGGCTATATGTTACAAAAAGATAGACGAAAACAATCTATTCCATGCTTTGCTGTTATCAGTTATGAAAATGTATAAGATGTGCGAGGACTTGTTTTATCATAAACATTAGAAGACTTGTGTGCACGCATACAAGCGAATGCTGGCTGCATGCAAAGAAATTTTCTCGAATAAATTCATAAAACACCCCCATGACCGTGGACGATTAGTTTTCCTTTCACAATTATTTTAGGTGAAATTATACAATGATGATTACATACATATAAACACGCACTTTAAGAATTTTACAAGTGCATGCTGTTGCTTTATAAAATAATGCAATCATATGATGACGTTGATGGTGACGAAGAGTTTTGTGATTCTGCGTTGGCTGGGCCATGCTCTTAATAAGCTTTAGTATGCCGATGGCAACATTTCAGTC